TGTGTCAGCCGCCCGCACTCTGTGACGCTGTTCTACGGCAATCACCACAGTCCTCCTGGGGACACTGTGTGTGTCAGCCGCCCGCACTCTGTGACAGTGTTGTATGGCAATTCATTGCTGGTTATATGTCTCCTCCTTAAGGGCAGTGACTGTGACTCAGATTAGCGATGTATTATCAGGGTCATGAAGCACTCTGCACATTACAAGACTCAATAAGTACGTGTTCATGGATAAATAGATCAAAATATTCCTGTCTCTTTCCTCTGAATGAACTCCAAATTTCTGTGTCCTTCTTAAACATGTGCAGTGTGAACACAATCCTCTCTATATAAAGTCTGACAGAAAGAGTCCCTCTGTAAACCAGTGTTTAATGTTTTTTTGTACCTAAATTCTGGTTGGTAATAATGCTTTCTCTCCCCTAGCTCAGCCTCCAACTCCTCCCCTTCTCTGTTACCCTCTGGAACTCCTGCTTTACAATTCAGCAAATGCACCTAAAGCCTCAAGCTCCTCACTCAGCATTCCTTCCACAACTTGTCTAACCTGAAGCCTGGTGACTGCTAAGGCCCCCGCTCCCCCATGCCCTCCAGTGGAGGCTGCTTGTTCCCTCACATCCCATGCAGGATACACCTGTGTCCTATGAGCCCCACACTGCAGCCTCCAGCTCACTGCTCCTCCACCCACCTACCAACTCCCTTCTGAGTCCTGTGCCAACAGTCCAGGTTACCTCTCTCCCTCTTAGTCACAGTCACTCCCTCACTCACTAGACTCTGGCATTGGTTTCCACTCTTCCTCTCCACCCCAACTGCTGTCATCTTAAGTCACCCTGGCGCCTTCAAAGTCCACGTGGGTTTCTTTACCACCTAATCTCTGACAATCTTCTTGTCCAGGACACTTCAGTTCCTCTATTCCACTAGAGCTACAGCCTGGACTGTCACTGCCTGCAAGTGCTCCAGCTGTGCTTGTTAAAATCATACACCCCACGCTTTGACCACAACATCCTATCCTCCTGGTCTGTTTGCTCCACCACTCTAGATAGCCCAATTCCTCTGCCTCTTCAGTACCTCTAGTACCCGACCCCTCCTCATTCTCCCTACCCACCAGGACCCCAGAGCCTTCACTTTCCTTTTTAAATCCATCTTCAATTCCTCAATCTATCGTTTTAGTCATTCTCTTGCCAACCACCTAAACTCCTGCCCAGATTTGCCTTGCTGAGTGCTACTGGAGAAAAATGACACAGCAGGTGTTACGGATGGAACTGTGTCCCCCAACAACATGGGCTGTAATTCCTAGCCTCTAGGCCTGGGGTTAGAATCCCATTTGGGAATGGGCTGTCTTTGTTATGTTAATGAGGGGTATGGCTTGAAGTCGATCTCTTTTGAGATATAAGAGATTAAACGAGCAAGCAAGAGAAGCAGAGATGGGGAACGAGAGATGCCAGACCACATGAAGATCGCCTGGGAGCAGAAGCTAAGAGACAACAACCTTCCTCCAGAGCCGAGAGAGAGAAAGCCTTCCCCTAAAGCCGGCACCCTGAGTTCGGACTCCTATACTATGAGAAAACAAATTTGTTTGTTAAAGCCGTCCACTTGTGGTATCTCTGTTATAGCAGCACTAGATAACTAATAACAGGGTAGACTGACACCACCAAAATTTACCATCGCAAACTTCAACAAGTCCACCAACACTGCCAGATAATCCTATCTCAACAACTCAAATACCTCATTCTCCTCAAACTTCCAACCACCAGCACTTGACAGGTGACATCACACATCGGATGAGAACCAGTACAACATCCTGCTCTGGATTTACAAACCGACAACTATAAGCAACCCCCTTCCCTCATTTTATGTTAGGCCAAACCCACCAACAGTGCTCCAGCTCCCAGCCCTGTCTCCCACTTTCTCCATGACCTGCACTATTAATTATCCCTTCTTTCTTCTCTGTCTTTAATTGTTTCTCACCAAAGGCAACTTTAACAAAACAAAAACAGCTCTACACTGACCCCAGGTTCTCCCACAGCCTCTGTCCTCTCTCCTACCTTCACAGCCCACTTCAATATGGGTGGGTCCACAAAAGTGCTCCCCAAGTCACCTCTGACCTTCATGCCACCAAAACCAATGGACACTTCTCCGTTGTCTTAATCCGTGTCTCAGCAGCATTCAACAGTTATTCACTCTTTCTTGAAATATTCTCTTTCGTCAGCATCCTTAATACAAACTCTCCTGAATTCGCCAACTGTCTGGTCATTCCTCCATGGCTGTATACCCAATAGCACACAAACTGAAGAGATTTCCAAGAATAATCTTTACTTTAAAGCAGTTTATCTTATGAACTGACTGCTGAATTTCCAATTCTCCTGATTATCATTAAAGGCAGGCATTGTTACCTTGTTTTGTGAACAAGGAACGCAAGCTCCAAGTCGGTTGCGTAATGTGTCTGCAGTTTTACAGCAAGTGAACAGCAGAACCAGGATTTGAACTCGGTTCTATATGACTCTTCTTTTATACCAAGTACCTCAACAGAGCTTGTTCCTCAGAGTGCTAACAACCGCCTAGTCCCTGGCCCCCAATCACCTACTCTCCCGTCTCTTTCTCCTGATTCCCTAGTCCCAAATCTCCACTGCTCTGGTTCTTCTAGTCTTCCAGGTCTCACAGCTGTTCTCAATGCCCTCAGCCCAACTACCCACTGCTCCGTGAAACCATGGACTGACCCAGTGAGCGTAGGTTGAGCTCCTCTGTGATCTTGGCCTCCCTGAGCAGCTCCTCCTGGGTCAGCGGCCGCTCATAGTGGGGCCCCTTTCGCCGCCGTGACTGGCCCTGCCTTTCCTGTACCCGAAGGAATGTCTGTCGCGTATGCTCAGCCGTAGACTGACGCATGGACTTCCGACCTGAGAGGAGAATCAGACCAGAATAAATCTTTGAAATCATGACCGTCTTTTTTTTTTTTTAATTTAATTTTTTATTTAGAAATTATTTCAAACTTACAAAAAAGTGGCAAGAACAGTACAAAGAACACCCATGTGCCCTTTGCCCAGATCACCTACTATAAATGTTTTGCTCCATCATAAGCACGTCATAGCCCTTTACCCCCAAACACTTCAGTATTTCATAAGAAGAAGGATATTCTTTATACAATCATAATATAGCTATCAACTTCACTAATTTCCCACTGATGCATTAATCTATCATCCAGATTCCAATTTTGTCAGTTGACCCACTGATGCCCCTTAAAGCATTTTTACTGCTTCCAGTACAGGATCCAGTCTAAGATCCTGTACCACATTTGGCTGTCTCATCTTTTTAGTCTCCTCTGACCTGAGACAGTCTCTAAGCCTTTGTCTTTCATGACACGTAACCAGCTCCTTTAAAGGAAGCCACTGGTATCCACAGTTCCTTGCTCTCTTCATAACCAGTCAAAAGGCTTTCCCCTTGATAAACGTTACACCAACAGCTTGACCAATCATATTAACGCAAGGGAACAGATTGACAGCTCTTTCCAATATAATTTTTACTAGCTTGAAAATGCTTACATGTTTTTTTCCCAATGATAAAAGATTTATCCTCCTGTGTTTTGCTTGAACCAATATTAAAAATAACTAGTAATCTCCTAACTTGAGAAGAGCATTCCAAAAATAAACTGAATGGCAAAAGAAAACTAGTTTGAGATAAATTTAAGCAGATATTCCAAAAATGGATAATTGAGAACTGGCTAATTTGTGCTTATATGTTTATCTATGGGCTACATGCACTTTGTTTTTCTTTTGCCTCACAAATTGGGCTGTAAATCCTCTATAAAAATTCTTTTTTATACTGATACTAAATCTTTAATATAAGGCTTTATATTCTGGGGGCATTTAGGAAATTCTGTACTTATAGTACTGACAGTTGTCAGATGCTGAGTCCTCCAATCACCTGTCCTCCAGTCCGAGAAGGAAACAGGACTACCTCTTCCCCTGTGGGAAGACCACTCCCCCCACACCCCCAAAAACACCCCACTCACTGTCAGAGCCATCATCCTGTAATTCCAGTGGCAACAGTGCTTTCTCTTCTCGGGTCTTCTGAGAGCTACCAGCCGGGTTGCTCACCTTTCGAGGCCTCAAGCTCTTGAGAGGCTCCTGGGGACAGATCCGGGTCAGAGACCAGGGAACACAAGAGAGAGGGAGGAGGAGGATCAGAATCTTAAGAATAGAAAATTAGCATGGGGGCAAATGGGACTGGTGTGGGACGACTGGGTCTCGAGGAAGGGGAGAACAGGGACTGAGGAGGTCTGAGAAAACCCCTGCACCTTATAGGCCTTGGTGACTATCCGGCGCTTCCTTCTTGGCTCTTCTGCTTCTCCATCACTGGATGGTCCATCCCCTTCGTCGATGTCGAAGTCAGAGTCCACCTCGTCCTCTGTGTCGGACTGGTCCCCTTGATACTCATCATCTCCCGATTCCTAAGGGCACAGGGAAATGAGGGTGGGCTGGCACTGGAGATATCAATGCCCCTTCAGGAGGAACTGAATCTCTTCATTTTCCTGCTAAGGGCTGCCCCACACTACTCCCCAATGCAGCTCTTCATTTCCTTGGGCAAGAAGCCTTCCTAGCTGATGGCCTTCGGCTCCAGTACCACCCTCTTCCCACATCAGCTGACTGCCCTTTACCTACAGCACGCTAAGTGCTGGAGAACAAAATGACATGGTTTGGTCTCTACTTTTAGGGGGCTCATGGTCTACTGGAGGACAGGACATGATCATAAAATGAAAACCTTTAATACAAGGCACCACACAGTGTACCAGATGGCAATCAAATGTTACAGGGGCTCAGAGGACAGCACACTTGCTGTGGGCTGGGGGTATGGGGGGGTCTAAACTTTAGACTTTAATCCTTTAGACCAGATGTCGGCACACTTTTTCGTAAAGGGCCAAACAGAAACAAGTGGTGGGGCAGATCTGGTCTGCGGCCACAGTTCTGCTGAACTCTGCTTTAGGTTCTAACCGATGAAGAGGACTTGAGCCATGGGTTAAAACAGTGGTAGTATTTAAGACCGAAAAGAGAGAAGAGGGAATCAGGCAGATGGAACAGCAGGAACAAAGGTATAGAGGCAGGAATTTGTAAAGCATTTTTACGGAATAAGGATTTATACCTAAGGAAAGAAGAGGGTTTGTCTCTGGCAAGAAGCCTTCCTAGCTGAAGGCCTTTGGATTGGCACAGTCAGCCTCCTTCCAACATTAACTGATCACCTTCCATGGTTATGAGATTTGAAAAGAAGGCTGCATTCCACCTATAGAGAAGCTGAAATGTCAGGTGTGATTTTAACCTGCAGGCCAATGATTCTCAACCTTCTCCCTCCACTTACTTGTCCTTGCACTGATAATCACTGTTGAGGTAAACTAAAGTCACTGAGAGGAATGTCTCATTCCTCAGGTGTGTCGAGAGAGACAAACAGCTGGGTACTACTACTATAGGTAACAGGGAACCGTGAAAACATGGAAGATTTGGGGGAGGCGAAAACAGCGTGAACAAGCAAGTGTTTCAAAAGCTCTGGAGGTGGTTAGATGAGCTGAAGTAGAGAGCTTGGAGTACAGCCTAGGCGTACAGCCTAGGCCTGAGGTGATGCAGGCTAGAGCTAGAAAGGCAGCCACCATGGAAAGGAAGAGGGAGAGGGGAAGTCAGCTGGGCTGGGTGGCATCTCAAACATGTGGCTCTCTCTTCAATCAATGATACGGACTAATGGGCTAATCTTGGTACACATGCTGCCAAAGCAAGCAAATAACACTGATGGGTGACACTCCAAGCCGCCAGAATTCAATCTTGCACCGATGACCATCATATCCTCCCAGCTGAAGTCTGTGAAAGACAGCCTGGGAACACATTAATCCCCTCAGCCCTAACTGGTATTAAGTCATATCACTACGGACAGTAGCTTAACGACACATTAGCTTAGTGCTCAACCCAAATGCTTTCACTAAATCATACGTTTACTGTGATTCCTTTGGCTTTTATTGAGGGTCATTAATAGACATGACTAGGTAACAGAATGTTTTTACATCATCTATAAAGCCACTATTACTTCATATATCTTATATAAAAATACAATGATAAGTTCTTCCTGGGATTTAATACTCAGTAAGTTTCTCTCTCTTGAAGTACTTACATGTTCCTTTCCTAGTAAAAAAAAGAAATTCAGGGTTTAGCTGTCAGGAAGCTCACACCTAAATTTAATAGCAACCGCTATTACCATTTTAGCATAGACTCCTGGTACAATTATCTGATCTGTCTCTATTTTTACTGTTTCTACTTTTTGTTTATATAATAAGCCTTCTTAAATCCTTTTTGGAAGCATGAAGGGTACATATTAAATAACTACTCGTAAAATGACAGGAATAGGACAATGGGCTGAGGGGGAACTGGTCTTGGAGGAGAGATGAGAAAGTTCTATTTTAAACTACTTAACGCTGTGTAAGTAATAACTCCTAGTCAGTCACTAAGTTCTGTGGATTCTATTTCCTTAATTTCTCTTGAACCCTCCTGTCCATGTTTCTCCCGCTCACTGCCACAACTTCAGTTTAGACCAGCATCATCTCTTGCCTGGATTTTTGCAGCTACCTAACCCAGAAACCCCGGTGGCGTAGTGGTTAAGAGCTACAGCTGCTAACCAAAAAGTCAGCAGTTTGAATCTACCAGGCGCTCCTTGGAAACTCATGGGGCAGCTCGCTGAGTCAGAATTGACTCGATGGCAGTGAGTTAATCTGGTTTCTCTGTTTCTAGTCTAGTTCCCTTCAAACTATTCTTTTCATACAGAGTGATCTTTCTAAAACATAAATCTGACTGTGGAACTTGGATGAACCTTCTCAGTCCAAAGAGCAAAACTGCTTAACATGGCTCACAATGCCTCCTACATGATCTGGCCCATGCCTATTTCCTCCAGCCTTACCAATCTTCATTCTCCTTCTCTCTCGTGGGTTCCAGAACAGACTTGGATCTCAGTGCCTCTACACGCTCTGCCCCAGCCCCTCCAGTGTACTGACTGCTCCCCTCCTCCAGCTCCCAGCCCTACAGCTCTTCAGCCAGCCAAGGTCTACTCTTCATACTGTCCTCAGCTTAAACATCATCTCTCCCTGGATGCCTATGCCGACCACGACTCTAGCTCCCATGGGTCACCACAGCAGCCTCTGCTTACCTCTTATTTTAGTGCTTATCACACACTATTTTAACTGCCTGTTAATCCAACTAGTTCTCCCACTGGACTACGGAATATGTCAGGGACAGAGCGGAATTTTTAATACTCTGTTTTCTTAGAGCCTATCACAGTGCCTGGCATGCTGTGGATGCTCAGCAATATTTAATAAATGGATTCAATCAATAAAAATCTAACAAGTGACGTTCGATTAGGCACGGGACGTATACTGTTGAGCAAAACAGACCATCTCTAACCTTGTAGAGCTCACAACCTCACAGAAAAATATAAACAAGTAAGCAAACCAAATCTAATTAGAAACTGAGATATCTTCTATGAATGTAACAAATGGGGACACTATTTTAGCACAGTGAAGGAAGAGTTATCTATGGAGACATTTACAGTGAGACTTGAAGGCTGAAAAAGGAATGGGCTAAGCCCCTCTAGTTTTTGGAGAGATTACTCTCTACCTCAGGTAAATTAACTAGGCAGCTGGTCAACGAGTATATGTCACATGACTACGATGTGCCTTGCGTGGGGTGAGAGATGCCGCTAAAGAAATACATAGTAGGTTTCTTCCATACTCCCGGGTCTCCCTCCAGAGAGCCTCTCCATCCCTGACCCCGGCAGCCCTGTCCAGGGCGGTCTTTTCTAGGACTCCACCGTACATCCCCCAGACTCTCCCACGCGCTCTCCCACCCCGTCTCGAGTATCCGCGTCCGGGCCTCCTCTCTATCCCCGCTCCCTTCTTCTTTGTCAGGACGTCTCTCTTCGCTTCCTCCCCTCCCTCTTCCTGGGCCCGGCTCTTGCCTCTGTGAAACCCCCATAAGTCGTCTGGTAGAACTCATCTTCCTCCTCGGCCTCCAGAAGCCCAGAAAGTCGGTTCCCGGCGGTCTTCCGGGGCGCTCGGCCCCCAGCCAAACTCATCCGGCCCACCGAGACTGCGCCGTCGCCAGCGGCCCCTCACCCAGCTCGGTTCTCAGAGCTCGGCGCTCGACACCACTACCTGCGGGTGGCCGGTGCAACGGAAGCGGGGCGTCCGCAGGCAGAAGCAGCAGAGCGTCGAGGGCCTCTAGCTTTCTTTACTCTTAAGCCCCGCCCACTACTGCGCAAAGTCTCGACGCCCCCTGCCCTATCCCGCGAGGACCTGGGCTGTGGAAGGATTCTATCCGATGGCACCGGGGGCGCTAATACCAAGTCCAGAATTGGCCAGTCAACCAGTTTTCTTTTAGAAGAGGTCAGTCTACCCTTGCTCCAGTCCGTTTTCCACTCTGCTGCTAGTAAGAAACTTTCTAAAAACCTGTACTTTGTCACTCCTCTGCTCAAAACCCTTAATGGCTCCCCATCTTCCACAGGGTAGAGTCTGAGCTCCTCGAGGCAGAATAGTGTTGTGATTAAGAGCACAGTTTTAGAGCCTACTAAACCTGAGTTCAAATGTGAGCTTACCTCTGTGAATCTCATTTCCTCATCTGTAAAATGGGGCTAATGATAACCTTTTAGGGCTGATGTGAAGATTAAAAAATATCCTTATTAACTGCTTAGCACAGTTTTCGTCGGCACGTGGTAGGTAGATGTTTAGTAGGTGATAACTGCTATTAATATGGCATTCAAGATTCTTCAGAATTTAACCCTCTCCTTGCCTTTTTAAACTCACCTCTGCCACATCACCACATATATCCAGCATGACTCCCCTGAACCCAATTCTCTGTTTTACCTCCATGCTTTTTCTTCTGCTTAGAGTCCGTGTCTTTTCTTGTGTACCTGGCAAAATTCTCATTCTATAGGGCAGTCAAGTGTTGCCTCACATCCATTCTTCTCTTTCCAGGCACAGTGCCCATAACTATGGGGATCGTGCCTCTTAGAGTCTCTGGAATAGTTCCAATTTAAAACAGTTCGTGACATTTTCAGGATTCTGTGTCAAGTTCTGTTCCCATTTTCCATTCTGAAAATGTGGTTGTCAAACCATAGCACTTGTACACACTCTGTGATGAGACCTTTTATTGTAATAATGATTTATGTGTCTGTCTCCTTCATGTTTGTGATCTTTTTGAGGCAAGGACTTTACGTTCATCTGTCATACCAGGAACTCTCATACTGCCTGGGGCGGTTGTGGCTAAATAATGCACATTGAATGACTGAATTAACAAATGACAAATTGAATGAGTAAGTACCTATCCTTTTGTTCTTGCCTCTGTGTTGCTTTTGCCAGCCACCAGCCATTCCGTTTTGACCTTAGGAACTGTTCTGAGACATAAAGGAAGCTTTTCTAAAGCTGTGTGTGTGTGTATGTGAGTGTATCTTCCGGGCTCTACTTTGTGGCCACCAGATTGTGCCCTTTCCCAAAGTATATATTGGTGAACTCCCTTTTTCACTTCCTTGGGGGCACCAGGGTGACTTGTCCTGCCCTGCCCCTGCTTCCACACCCTGCCACGTCACCCCAGTTTTGCTATGCCAGGAATGTTGCTGCCCTCTATGACTCAGAGGGCACCCTAGGGATGGAGTGTGAATGGGGACAGAGAATAGGTTTGGGTGGGGGGGCTGGAGTGGGGTGGGAGATGCCTGCATCTTAAATACCCCTAGCTCCACTTCTTGAATTTTGCCTTCATCCATTCATATATTCTGAAACACCGGTGGCATAGTGGTAAAGAGCTATGGCTACCAACCAAAAGGTCGGCGGTTCGAATCCACCAGGCGCTCCTTGGAAACTCTATGGGGCAGTTCTACTCTGTCCTGTAGGGTCACTATGAGTCGGAATCAACTGGACAGAAATGGGTTTGGTTTTTTTTGGATTATTCATATATTCAGGAGATGTGTATTGGGCACCTACTCTGTTCCAAGCACTGTTCTAGATGCTTGAGATATAAAAATTGATGTCATCTTTGTCCTGAAGAATTCACAGTCCTATTAGGGAGACAAATAGGTAAACAGACTGACAGAGTACAAGGTGGTAAGTGGGTAATAGTAACCATTTTCTGGTACATAAAGGAGAAACTAAGACTCCTAAGAAGCCAGCAGACTGGGATCTCTTCTTTCAGGACAGCTGAAATCAAAGTCACCCCTTCATCTGAGTGACACATCAGATCCCTTTGTTGGACATACTGCCTTGGTAAGTCAGGGCTTTATTGGTCTATTTCCAATTTTTAAATCAGAAACAGCTTTGCCTCTACACCAGCTGATAGCTAAAGTAACTCAGGAAATGGTGGAAACTCCATGCTTTATATGGAAACAAGGATAATTTATTCAATCAGTATTTATTAAACACCTACTATGAGCCAAATCCTGTGCTAGGCAGTGTGCCCCCACACAGCCCTGTACTGTTTAGTTGGGTGGGGAGTATAGAGCTAGACATCATACAATACTTCAATACTGCACAGTTCCGCTGCTGTGAAATTACAAATGGCAGTCCAATCATCTAAAGTGTTGTCTACTTTCATACCCAAAAAGGGGAAGAATAATCCAGGAGGTGGCAGCAGGGAAACAATTAATCTTGGATCTAGGTGGGGGAGGGGTAGAAGGGGATATTCTATGGACGTTCAGGTCCTAGATTCCCTTTCAAGAACCCAGAAGACCCAGATAGAATAACCAGGCCCCAGATTGAGGGCTATAAAACCTACGTTTTTTGTTTTTTTCATTCCTCTTCATTTATTCATTCTACAAATAATTATTGAGTTCCTACGATGTACACAGTCACGGTGAGGAGGTGGAGATAGAAGGGTAAACCAAACAATCCCTGCTCTCCAGTAGTTTACAATCTGTTCAGACAGGTTTCCGAATCTCTGCTAGGGTTCTGAATCTCCAGGGTACTTTGTTAAAACTGGACTGGGTCAGTATGAAGACTAGAGGAAGGGACCGGGGCAATTTTTCTGTTTTGTTTCTGGCCCGTGGCGTACAGAGAATGGAGAGTTGGAGGCTAAGGGTTTGGATCACGTGAAGGTTCTGAGATAGTCTAAAGGTCTTCCATTAGCAAAGAAAGCAAAGATGCCACCTTGAAGACTAGGGTTCGCCTGACCCAAGCAGCGGCGTTTTCAGTTGCCTCTTATGCATGCGAAAGCTGGACGGATGAATAAGGAAGACTGAAGAAGAATTGACGCCTTTGAATTGTGGTGTTGGCAAGGATTATTGAATATGCCGTGGACTGCCAAAAGAACGAACAAAATCCGTCTTAGAAGTACAACCAGAATGCTCCTTAGAAGCAAGGAAGGCTAGACTACGTCTCACATAATTTGGACATGTTATCATGAGGGATCAGTCCCTGGAGAAGGACATCATGCTTGGTAGAGGGTCAGCAAAAAAGAGGAAGATCTTTATCAAGATGGATTGACACAGTGGCTGCAACAATGGGCTCAAGCATAACGATTGTGATGATGGCGCAGGAACTGGCAGCGTTTCATTTCGTCGTACGTAGAATTGCTATGAGTGGAAACCGACTGGGCGGCAACTAACAACAGTGGTCTTCCCTGGCCCATTTTGGGGCCCATTTTGGCAGAGCTTCGTTCATTCATTTATCAAATATTTACTGAACTTTGTCACTGTGCCCATCACAAAAACAGGAGGAGGTGTTACAAATATCTTTCCAAACGCAAGACATGCACGCACGTTAAATAATAAACAAGGCAGTAAAGCCGGAAAAGGGCCGGGAGGGAGTCTTGGTGGCTTGTGATGTTTTGTGACAGTCAACTATTGAATGTCTCAGACTTGACACAGGCGCTTTTCTCCGGAGTTCTTTCCTGGGCTGTGAATTCGAGAGAGCCGGCTCGGTATACTCTGATTCGGAGTTTAGAGCAGTAAACTGAGTACTTTCAAAGGGCCGAAGTTAAATTGACCCACCGAGCCACCGTAGGGTTAGTCCGCCGACCAGGGCGCGCAAGTCTTCCACCCTTGGATTCGTCAGGGCGTGAAGGCCCGCAGCACGTGACCGCTGTCAGCGTCCCGATTGGCTCCACTCCTCTCCGGGACCGCCCCCCGCCCCCAGTGGGATGGAACACTGGGAAGAAGGTCGGGCGCATGCGCGGTACCCGGATTTCCCTAGACACCTTGACTGGAGCGTTGGGCTTGGGCGATAAACAGGCTGTCGCCGGAGGAGGGGACGGGGACGTTCGCTCCGCCGGGATATCTCACGCCTCCTTATTCCTTTAGGTGTGGTTTGGTTGGAACGCGCGGCCCCAGGAGCCGGCTTGAGCCTACTCCCTTGTGAAGGGGGAAAGTAGCCCCCCACGGAAAGCGGTTCAAGTTGCGGAGGGGGTGCGAGAAGGGAGTTCTCCCCCATGCCAGCCCCATGGTACGGCCCTGAGCTAGTCCTGGAGCCGGCCCGACGTGTCTGAGAGAGGCCCCGGAGGGGGCGGGGAGGTGGCCCACAGAACGCGGGTTCTGTGAAGAGACGTGGGGAAGATTCAATTCGGAGAAGAGGAAGAGTTCGATTGAAAGGGAGCGAGGGCCCTGAGGTGGGGGGCTACCAAGATGGCGACGGCCTCCTCTGGGCCGTCGACGATCGGGTTTTCATCCGTGGATTCCGGAGTCCCTTCCTGCACCTCGTCCTCAGGTAAGCAGGGCATGGCGTGGGCAGGGGGCTGGTGACGACTGTGCGATGGGACGAAGGGCGAGACCTAAGAGGCACCTGTAGCTGGAGGGGTCCGAGGGGGTGCCGGTAAGAGGACAGAGGGTCGGGTTTTCAAATAGCAGGGATTTCTGAGCGGCCAGGGGAGTGTGAGGAAAGGATGTTGGAAGGGAAGCTGTTGAAAACGTTGGCTGTCTCCGACGAGACCGGGTTGAGGACTCAGGAGGGGATGGAGATCGGAGGTAGTGATAGGAAGGAAACAAGGGGCACCCGAGGGAGTAAAGAAACTAAATGGAGCACTGACAAGTAGAGAGAAATTAGCGTGAAGGTAGGTAGAATCCAAATTGATTGTGGGGTTAATCAGATAAACAACGTGGAACTTAAAGGTATTGAAGATTGTGGGGCGCCTTAGATTGCTGGGGAGTTAGCGAGTTGTGAATTTTGTTGTGGTGGGAGTTATCGGA